AGTGCCGAATGCTGAGCAGCCGCTGCCAATGACTGCATCTGACGCTTGCCATTGCCGAGGCTTATCAAGAGGCTCTAGTAGCAGCCCCGCTTTGGAACAGACAGGCCTCAGAAATGCTGAAGCAATTGGTGATTTCGGAAGTGGCTTCAGTGGTCCTGGAAATGTCGCCATAGGATACAGCCCATGCTTGACAAAAAGCAGGAGCGAACAAAATGTATACTGACCCGCCAGGCAATTTTTGTTGGCTTTGAAGGGGAAACGAATGTGCCCGTTGTCCAGGATGTCTTAGATGTCGAGCCTGGGTATGATGCCATTATTAGCAGCAATGGCAGGGATGATGCAAACTTAAAATAGGCAGCTGGCTCCTTACCAGTAGTACCCGCACGAGGCGGGGCGGAAGTTGCCTTAAAGATATATATAAGACCTTTCTCATCTATAGAACTTGCATGCGCCGTGCGCCAGCGAAGCCCGTGCGTGCGTGCACTCTGCGAAACTGGTGTCTTGTTGCACATGTCACATTTGAAGCTCCACGTCACACTTCACACTTGACAGTCTTCACACTTCACACTGCATTCTTCACACTGCACCCTTCGCAGTCAACACTTCACTTCACACTGTACTCTTAAGACTCCACACTTCACACTTCACACTCCACACTTCACAGTCCACACTTCACAATGCACTCTTCGCACTCCAAACTTCACACTTCACAGTCCACACTTCACACTTCAGAGTCCACACTTCACACTTCTCACTTCTCACTGCTTCCTTCACACTCCAAACTTCACACTTCACACTTCACACTGCACTCTTCACGCCCCACACTTCAAACTGCACTCTTCACACCCCACACTTCATCTCATCTGAGCTCTTCTCACCTTATCCCAGCTCAGCTCTTCTCATCTCATCTCTTCTCATATGTCATCTAAGCTTGCATGAATCACTTCCCAGTACTACTACAACTACTACTACTACTACCTACTACTACTACTACTACTACTACTACTACTACTACTACTACTACTACTACTACTACTACTACTACTACTACTACTAAGGAACTTGCATGCGCAGTGCGCCAGCCAGGCCCGTGCGTGCGTGCTTTGTGCGAAGCTGTTGCAGTGTTGTTGTCCAAGAGAACATGACCTGCGCACGACCCCGGCGCAATGCAACGCCAAGCAAGCACTTTCCTCACACTTCACACTGCACTCTTCCCACTTCACACTTGCACTTCACACTTGCACTTCACACTTGCACTTCATCTCAACTCATCTCATCTGGGCTCTTCTCATCTCATTCCATGTCTTGCACAAAACACGTTCCAGTACTACTTTGTACTGCAAAGCTTGCACAAACTACTTCCCAGTACTGATGTCTATTACAAAAGCTTGCAAAAACTACTTCTCAGTACTACTTTGTACTACAAAGCTTGCACAAAGTATTTCCTCCCAGTACTACTTTGTACTACAAAGCTTGCACAAAGTATTTCCCAGTACTACTTTGTACTGCAAAGCTTGCACAAAGTATTTCCTCCCAGTACTACTTTGTACTACAAAGCTTGCGCAAACTACTTCCCAGTACTACTTTGTACTACAAAGCTTGCACAAAGTATTTCCTCCCAGTACTACTTTGTACTACAAAGCTTGCACAAAACACTTCCCAGTACTACTTTGTACTACAAACCTTGCACAGACTACTTCCCAGTACTACTGTGCACTACAAAGCTTGCAAAAAGTACTTCCCAGTACTACTTTGTACTACAAAGCTTGCGCAAACTACTTCCCAGTACTACTTGTACTACAAAGCTTGCACAAAGTATTTCCTCCCAGTACTACTTTGTACTACACAGCTTGCACAAAGTATTTCCTCCCAGCACTACTTTGTACTACAAAGCTTGCACAAAGCACTTCCCAGTACTACTTTGTACTACAAACCTTGCACAGACTACTTCCCAGTGCTACTGTGTACTACAAAGCTTGCAAAAAGTACTTCCCAGTACTACTTTGTACTACAATCATACAAAGCTTGCACAAAGTATTTCCTTCCAGAACTACTTTGTACTACAAAGCTTGCACAAAGCACTTCCCAGTACTACTTTGTACTACAAACCTTGCACAGACTACTTCCCAGTACTACTGTGCACTACAAAGCTTGCAAAAAGTACTTCCCAGTACTACTTTGTACTACAAAGCTTGCGCAAACTACTTCCCAGTACTACTTGTACTACAAAGCTTGCACAAAGTATTTCCCGGTACTACTTTGTACTACAAAGCTTGCACAAAGTATTTCCTCCCAGTACTACTTTGTACTACAAAGCTTGCACAAAGCACTTCCCAGTAATACTTTGTACTACAAACCTTGCAGAAAGTACGTCCCAGTACTTCATTGTGATACAAAGTTGGCACAAAGAAAGCTTTTACACACAGCAAGTTCTTTCGCAGAGAATCTTTTACACACAGCAAGCTTTTTAAACAAGCTTGCACAAAGAAAGCTTCTACACACAGCAAGTTCTTTCGCAGAGAAGCTTTTACACACAGCAAGCTTTTCAAAGAGAGAAGCTTCTACGCACAGAAGCTTTTACACACAACAAGCTTTTTCACAGAGAAGCTTTTACACACAGCAAGCTTTCACACACAGCAAGCGTTTACACACAGAACATTTACACAGTGTTTTTACACATGGCAAGTGTTTACACACAGAAACTTTTGCACAGAGACGCTTTTACACACAGAGAAGCTTTTACACACAGCAAGCTTTTACACACAAAATCTTTTACACACAGCAAGCTTTCACACACAGCAAGCGTTTACACACAGAACACTTACACACAGTGCTTTTACACATGGCAAGCGTTTACACACACAGCAAGTTTTTTAAACAGAGAAGCTTTTACACACAGAGAAGCTTTTACACACAACAAGCTTTTTCACAGAGAAGTTTCTACACACAGCAAACTTTCACACACAGCAAGCGTTTACACACAGAACACTTACGCACAGTGCTTTTACACATGGCAAGCGTTTACACACACAGAAACTTTTACACAGAGACGCTTTTACACAGAGAAGCTTTTACACACAGCAAGCTCTTACACAAAATCTTTTACACACAGCAAGCTTTCACACACAGCAAGCGTTCTTGTACATAATCACAACAGGAATTGCAGCTCCAAAACCGGATCTCGACGCCAAAGCGACAAAAAGACGATTTTTATTCCCAAAGGTTAAGAGGGGGTAACCAGGAGGAAAAGCTCGCGTACCAACGCCGTCAACCAAACAAAACAAACTACGCTCTTCTCTAGAGGAAAGTAAAATCTACATATACAAAACTTATCATAATTATATGTGTATATATATATTTACATCAAATAAAAGATGCGCACGCCGTCGCTCGTTCGATCCGTGAAAGAAAACAAACGAATGATTCAATTCCACGACTCAGCAGCTTCTTCCTTTTTCAGCGGGGGCAAACAGCTCTGAGTTCCGTCATCTTCAACGGTATTGTTAGGCCATCCCTTAGGGACGGGAAAAAAACCAAAGGTTTTGGGTGGGAAAACGAAAAAGGGGATGCCGCATCTAAAGAGGGTCCCACCCTCCCACCACTTAAACCAAAATGTTACACGTTAAAATTTCAAATGTTGTCACACTGATAATAACATGATTGTGTTCGCAGAATTGTATGCCGCAAGACGTCTCACTGATAATAACAGATACTACAGCGACATCAAAGAGAGGGCATAACAAACGGAACACAAACAGGTGACAACAAGTCAACTTTAACACGGTGTGGTTTCAGTTTGTTTGTAAACAAGGTTGACGCGCGTATTGGGGTTACGCAAAGTATAGATGACAATACCTCCTGGTTACCCAAAGCCTTTTGGCCCCACAGGGGCCCAAAGGCAGGAAACCTTTTTGGAATAAAGGGACTATCTTTACTTCGTGCCTCAGGCAGAGGCGACCCTTATTCCCAAAGGTTAAGAGGGGGTAACCAGGAGGAAAAGCTCGCGTACCAACGCCGTCAACCAAACAAAACAAACTACGCTCTTCTCTAGAGGAAAGTAAAATCTACATATACAAAACTTATCATATGTATATGTATATATATATATGTGTTCTTCAAGGACTTTCATTTGTTTGAGATAAGATCTAGAAACCGCAAACGAAACGCAAACAAACTTAAAACACAAAAATGCAAACAAAGCTTCAATCCTCCCGCTTGACCATGTCTCGCTTCTGATCTCAAAACGCACTCCCTTTTCATCTGCTGGATGGTTTGTCCCACTGTTGAAACAGGTTGGATTCGACCATACTTCAATCGAAACCATTTGACCAGATGGCATCAACAACCCATTCGGGTCAGATGACATCAACGATGCACCATTGTGCATTGTCGTAAATGCAGTGGAAATACTGAACGTGACATAAAAGTCACCACGCTTTGAAGTGCAACGCACTGCAAATAACCATGAGCACAAAGGCTCCAAAGATGAACATAATTCGGAGCACAAATAGGGGAAATAGGGTGAAACATTGAGATCAACCTGTTGATACAACATTGGTATAGAAATGAGAACAAGGTGAGGGAGGGAGGGAAACGAAAAATGTATACGCACAAATGAAAGTCCTTGAGCCAAAATGGAATAGAAACACAAAGAAGTTCCTTGCAAAACACAATGAACAAGTACATTAAACGTTCTTCAAGGACTTTCATTTGTTTGAGATAAGATCTAGAAACCGCAAACGAAACGCAAACAAACTTAAAACACAAAAATGCAAACAAAGCTTCAATCCTCCCGCTTGACCATGTCTCGCTTCTGATCTCAAAACGCACTCCCTTTTCATCTGCTGGATGGTGTCCCACTGTTGAAACAGGTTGGATTCGACCATACTTCAATCGAAACCATTTGACCAGATGGCATCAACAACCCAAACAAAAACTATCTGGTATAATGGTTATCGCCCAAACACGCCCAAATTAGAAGTGAGAACCATTCCAGTAGATTACATCTTAAGAAGATGTGGGAGTTTCCATAGGAGTTTGGAATCAGGAGGATGTAAAGTAGGGTGAGGTGAACAACGACATAGTTGATTTAGTGAAAGGTGAATCCGTTCACTTGTTTGAAAATCATGTGGAACAGGAGTAGAAAAATCCCATCGGCTCAAATCATCCGCTATGATGTTGTCAGCGCCAGGAATATGGCTCACATCCAATTCAATACCTGTAGTCGAAGCCAGGCACGTGAGGATCTCGACAAAAAGACATAGAGGATGAGTTGTCGTAAATAACTTGTTGCTCATGCTCTCCGCTCCCGTGTTGTCGCTCAAAGACTTCAAACATATGGGAATGCGAAACCCAGGAAAAGATGTAGCCACTAACCATACCAAGGCAATTTGGGCTAGAGTTTCAAATGATGCAATGCTTCTTTGCATATTGGGGTCCAAATGAATTGACAAATTGTCAAAATCAGCATGGGAAAATTTTTCAGAAAACCAAAATTGAACTCCTGAATGATGGCGGATGAAACCTCCGATTTGACAATGAGAGCCAGCTGCACATGCATCTGCTGCCGCAATGCCATTCCAATATGGCTTTGCTCGCATCGGTCGTGATGGAGAAACCCCCATCAGCCAATGGTCAAATAACTTCAAAATTCGGAGAGAATCAGGTCGAAGTTTGCGTTTGGAGGAATTTGGATTGATAATCCGTAGCCAAATTCTATTCTCCGTTTTGATATGTAATGATGTAAGATCCGCCAGAGAGGATACTGCTTGATGTCGAACTGCGATTAACTTACCTGATATAGGTATGGCGGAGCCCAATGGTGCTGTATGAAATGTCAAATTCGGTGTTAAATATTGATGAATGCGAGGCCATGTACCAGCATCAATACTGAAATGTGTCGCCGGGATGGTGTATAGGTCGTGATACCAGTAGTGGATCCAGATCCGCATGAGCGGAAATAATTGAGTAATCCACATTGCAAGACCAATGAGCTTTTCCAAAGACTTACGTGTCGTTCGTGGCTGGGATATGAGATGTTCGATGTATCCTCGGAGTTTGAGGATCTTTTCAATGGGGATTGTAACGATACCTGCATTGAAATTGAACTTCCAGCCAATATAGTCAATGGAAGAATGCATGGCCGTCTTCTTCCAGCTGATAGGGATTTCCAAAAGCTGGCAGAAAATACATAGCAACGTGGCTGACAGCGGCATCATGTTGGCTTCCATAAAAAATAGGAAGTCATCCACATACAAAAATCCAGCGTGACTTAACCAGATCAGATGGTGAAATATACGTAGAATGAGTCCACCCAATCGCGCCCACCAAAAAGCAGAGAAAACCGCACCAAATGGGGTAACTCTATAGAAGAAAAGCTGTCCCTCCAAAGAAAAGCCAACCAGGCCACATTCGTCCGGATGTAGAACAATTCTTTTATGAGCAGCTTTAACATCTAAAGAGAAGCCCATTAGATTCCTCTGACAGTTGCGTAGAGGGTAGCTACGTAATACCTCTTTGGCAGTCGGTAATGTGGACCTTTCCGGAATGATGCACCGACCATTCAGGCCACAGACGCTGGAATCCACAACTAATCGGGGGGCTCGTCCATCCGAGCGAGCCACTCCCAATTTTCCAATGGCAACTCCTTCTGGATATTCCTGTTGCGCTTCATCCAAAGAACCTTTATACGCAAAAACCCAACCCTTGTCAATTTCTTCCTGAACAAGTTCTCGTGTTAATGGTAGATCCTCTTCGGCGCTCTGCCAGTTGGAGAGGTGGGCTGATAATGGGTCGGGTTCTGTATCAGCACGTTCTTTGGGCGGAAAAATACCTGATGGAGGAATCGCCGTGGAAAAACCGGTCCGGACACCTTCTAATAAACATGGTAATAATGTAAAATCGAAGTCGTGCATGATCCTCTGTAAAGAATGTAAAATACGAAGCATTGGTTGATGCTGTCGAATGGACCAATCCGGTTGTAGATCATGAGACAGCAAAAAATTCTCCAGATCTTCCTTGAATGGAGCTAAAATCTCCATAGAAAATGGCGGTGAAGGATTGCCCGATGCTACATGAGCCAGTAGGATCTTGTCCAATCGCTCGGAGATAATCCTGTTCATCCATGAGGTACGGAGCATCTTGAACCAGTCGTGTTCTTGACGATGGTCCTGACTCCAGTCCGGGTGGGAAAAAGCTCCACCCCCATCGATTTGTGCAAATGGATAATCCGACAGGCGCTTGATGGGCATGAGGGCATCCAGGGAAGACCACCGTAAATCCAGTGCTGAGGTGTCCAAGAGTGGTGCCACCAGGGTTGCAAACAATTGTGCAAGCTTCTGCGGATATTGTGCTGTCGCCCGACTTGCGAAAGCACCAGAGTCGTCTTTGAGGCCTTGAAGACGAACATGAGAGTTGGGAGGATGTTGACAAATGCATCCAATGGGTCGAAGACCCGGAAAACTTGAGGCAAACATCCATGCTTTGTACACATCCATCTCATAGGCACAAGCTGCCACGTTGATACAAGAAGCCCCAATCAATTGCAAAAATTGTCTAACAACCTTTTCTAACCATGACATGGCATTCAAGGGTTGCTCAAGGTGGACATGGCCGCCTGCTTGAAAAACCAGGGTGAGGACTTCGACACAGCGAGAAAGCACCAGAAAGCTCTCTTGAACACGTTGCAGTTCCCAAGCTGTAAGATTGGGTAGACCTGATAAATGCTCCGGCGATGTCAGGGCTTTAGGACCTCCATCATCTCGAAGTTTGAGTCTACTGTATTCGCAGCAGGAAGGGCTGGCCGCTCCATAACCAACCTGACCACTTGCCGCGACGCGTAATAGGTCCTCGTAAGCTGCATCGGATAAAATATCCATGGAAGAATCCAATAAAATGTCAAAAGAAAGAACTGGGTGGCCATGTCCAAAATAGCCATCGATAATGGACGTGTAACACCTGAGCAAACATCGAGGAAAAATTTGCCTGATGGAATTGCCGTTAAAACTGAGGTTGAAATAGTAGGTGGAATCGCCGTAGAATGGACCACGGGTTCCGCTGTTGTGTGGATGGTGGCAGTGGTATTGTATTCCTGGTTCTCCCGCTCCGTCTGGGGCAAACGGCCCGTAGTAAAAGAATCAAGAGGTGGACCAAAGTCTTGAACTGGGTCCACATCAGGTACTGGATGAGTCTCCACGGAGGCATCCTCATTGAACTGGTCATGCATGGTGAGACCTGGATCACTTTCCCCTTCGGGGAGTCAGGTGTGGCAAAGTGTGACATAGCACCATGGTTTTTGCCACAGGCCTTCCAATCCACTGGGTACGCACACAAATGTTGAAAGCCACAGTTGGGATTCTGACACTTGCCCACCTGATACCGCATGCAGAGTTGCTTGAAGCCACCATCACGTTGAATTTCCGTAACCCACTGGATCTTGCCCTTGGATTTCCTGGAATTCTGCTTTCCCTTGGACTTCCCTTGGCCTTTGCCTTTCGGTCCATCTACTCGAGGAGAAGCGGTCTGTGAGGATGGAGATGGGATGGGAGTGGTTTGAAAACGCGAGGTCGTGGCTGAAGAAGGCTTGGTAAATCATGACGCAAGTTCGTCATTTCGTGAAGCAATCATCCATGTTCCATCCTCGTTCCATGAGCTCTGCAATGACCGTCCAAATCTTCTGGTCAGCATGTTGAGCCTCCAACACGCTTGGGTCACGTAGATCTCCATCATACTTGGCGGTCAAAAAGCCGATGAATTTATGGGTGTAGGCCTTGAGATTAGCCAGGTGAGCTCCTTGGCACAAGGCAATGGCTCGATCATGAACCTCGAGCATATTACGAATTGAGTTCACCCCCATGGCGTTGTTAGACACGTCAAGTGAAGGAGGATCATCAAATAACAAGGAATGTAAACCCAAGTGGTCAATCTTTGGCATCTTCTGAGCTCGGTTGCTAGAAATCTCTTCAGACCTGGTGAGCGAGATGCGATATTTCCACGGTACCCATTTCCAAACCTTCTTGGTAAGCTGATCATGTACCAAACTCACATCTGGTCGACGGGAAAAGGTCCGCATGGATCAACTCGGATGGGTAATTGGCCATGAATTTTTGTTTCATCGCCTGCAACACGGCTTCTCCAATTTGGGAGGAAAGGCTTCTGCCCAAGATCCGGCCGGCGTAGTTGCGCTCACTGTCGGAGTTGAGAAAGCCGACGAAATGGGGCCTTGTTGAGGTTGGAGCGATTGAAATGCCGTGCGTAGACACGCCTTCTGGAGTGTCGACAAAGTCTGAGAAGACGACCACTCCTGTAGAACCTCTTCAAAGCCTTGAGCATCCGCCGCTGCCATGCGAAATGATTGGGAAGTCCATCCTTCCATCATGAGGGAGTTCGTGAGATTGGAATCCACCCCACTCTTAGTCAGGACATCTTCCAAGTTGTCAGACGCCATGGCACCAACGCGTAAATGAAAAGAAAAATCACGCAAAATCAACGAACAAAATACCTCCCTTATGTTGGGGGAGGAACCAAAATAATGAAAAAGAAACTCTGACAACGCAATTTGATGTCTGACCCAACGTGGAGGGGGTGTTTGCGGGTGCCGAACTGACCTCTGACCCACCGGGTCCACTAGAGCCATCCACGGATAGCTAACATGACAAAATGTCATTTGTCACTCACACCGTGAGTGTAACTTCAACCACCGGTTGAATAACATCATGACAACCTGTCATGAAGCACTCACACCGTGAGTGTATTGTCAACCACCGGTTGAAACGCTGTATGACAAACTGTCATTTGTATCTCACACCGTGAGTCAAATATCAACCACCGGTTGAACATACCATGACAAAATGTCGAATCCAACGTCAACACCGCTGACGTGTGGGGGAGACCCTCCCCAACTGTAAAACGCCGTTAAAACAATACCCCAAATGAAAGAGGGGGAAAAATAGCAAAATTGCCAAAACAGGAAAAAACTTTGGTTAACCCTACCAGGGAAAACCAACTGCACAACCAACAGGTCACCGACCCGTTGAAAACACTCCAGGCGCACAACTTTTCATACCGCCTGGAACCGGATCTATCCAGATCCTTGCAAGAATTGGCAAGCATGCCAAACTTTCCTGCACGCTGCATGCTGACAGAAAGGCATGGTAGTGTCGAGTCTATCCAAGAGCTCGGCTTCCACTCCACGCATCTGACGACCACATGCTGGTTTGAGAGGCTGTCCCTGCCATCGAGGGCGCCAATCTTCATCATCTCCCGCACGCACCAGTGCATGAACAACTGCACGATACCGTCCCACCAGGACTTCGTCCACATCAGAAGGCCCAAGGTTCACTTTGGAAGTCTTGGGCCGAGGTTCCAAAACCTCGTCATCCGCGGATGAATCCGAAGAACTCTCGGAACTGCTGGTTGATGATTCAAAACAGCCTGGAGGTGCTGTCTCCACTGATTCACCGAATCGGAACCATTTGAAATCAAACTGCGGGAGATCTTTCACAAACTTCTCCAATACCACCATAGGTTCAACCATCGGGGCTTGGCTTCCCCGATGTTGGGCTATTGCCGGACGCCAGCCTCCCTGAACCTCCTGAATCATTTTACGCTGGTATGTCAGGGACGTCCACACGACATCCCTTGAATATGTGTCCAAACTGCTGTTTGGATCCGAATGATGTCCCTGGGATAAACGCTGTTCAGGAGTAACCTTCTCATGCAATTGTGGGCACCATGACAACAAGGTGGCCTTGAGGGAGTGCAGGGTGAAGTTCAACTTCAGGTGTTGTAATGGGTCCGGTCGTTGACGCCAGGGACAGCCCAAAAATTTTCGCAAATAAAATAACGCTGTGGCATAATCCATCGGTTGCAATGGATACACTGGACCATTGTCATCCACCAGGGGGAGTAAAAAATCAACTTCTGATAACCCTGAGGTATCCAAAACAGAGTCTAAAACGGTTAAAAACTTCCACAACCAGTTGTGGGGGCCTCGACTGAGGAATCCCTCCGCTGCCACTGCTAGAGGCATACCGCTGACCGCAGTTTTGGAGCGCCAGATAACTCCCCTCATGGTGTCCGCGTGGTAGATGATCTTTTGAAGGTCCATGCGTTGTGCATCAGAGAAACGGAGGGATCCCCAGGCCATCACCAAAAATGTGCCCAGTAGAATAACTTCTAATACTGTGCAATTGGACATAAGGATACGTCTCTCCCACTGTACCAACGCCCAAAGAGGCAGGGGAGGTGCTTGTTTCCTGTCCCTGGGGATCTTTTGGTTCAAAAACGTCCCAATGAGGACTGAATGCACCACTTGCAAACAGCCCACTTCGGCCGACTTGACTAGCCATCTAAGAGCTTTGATGACCGAACTGCAAGAACTGCTGCCGTGGGAAGTCGATCGCGACAGGGACATTGTAATTAAAATGTCGGCCAATTGAACCTCTGTCATAGATGCCAAATCCACTTGTAACGCTGTGCAAGTCTTGAAAAAAGACGTGCAACTAGAGATATATTTCATAGCTGTGCCCGGTGCCACATTGTCCAAAATCCTGTTCAAATGCATGCTTTGATGCTGTGACATACACGTCTCCTGCCAGATTCTGGATAATGGACCGAGCCTGGATAATAAGTCAAACCATATCTGACAGAGCAAAGGTGATGCACTGGAAAAACGAAATCTGTTGATAGCCCCTTGTTGACGTTTGGGAGGATGCAAAACCGTGGAAATAGGTCTGTTTTGGGCAAACCCTACAGGTGCTGAATCTGAAAAACCCAAACATCTTTGAGGCTGAGGCACGTCGAGGCTCTGTTGCAATGTCGTCCAGCTCTGAATCACAGGTAAGTTCTGTGCGGGAATTTGCAAGGGGTTAGACCCAGGAACAATTCGAATTGAATCAACAGGTAATTGTTGAGGGGGAAGAAACTCACTCCCTTGACACAAATCTGAAATACGCGGAATACCTGTATGTAACTGAGCTGAAGACTGTCCCGAGCACCCAATAGAACTGGTTGCCAGAGGACGCAAATCCGATACCTGAAACGGAGACACCAGGCGAGGACCTTGAGGTAAAGGTTCCCGCTGCAATGGAGCTGATTTCGGCCTGAATTGCAGTGGTGGTGAAATCACTGAACTCGTGTCCCATGAACCCTCAACACTCTGTACCAATGACCATTCATCTATGGAATTATCCATCACTCCAATGCCGATGTGTATAGCAACTATGCCCTGTATGACCAGGCTTTGCACGTCCACAGGGTAAATCACACCAGCGACACTTTGCACCACAAGATCCACGTTCGGGAACAGGTGACCCTGAAGGATTTTCCAAATCAGGTGGGGTATTCAACGGTACAGATGATGCTGAAGATAACGGGATACGAAAGCGATGGCACAACTCGTTGACAATGAGGAGAAGTGCAGTGATCAATTGTTCTAGTGATAACACCGAGACCGTCGCTCCGTCCATGCCGCCCGGGAACGCCCGGTGTCTGTGAATCAAACCGAAAAAATGAAACTCTGAAAATATCTGCATGACAGGAAAAACGCAACCAATCTATGTCAATGCCTGCTACCGATGTCCAGAAGAAAACATTCGGCTGAGCAGACAAAAACGAAAAATGTATACGCACAAATGAAAGTCCTTGAGCCAAAATGGAATAGAAACACAAAGAAGTTCCTTGCAAAACACAATGAACAAGTACATTAATCATATATATATACATCAAATAAAAGATACGCACGCCGTCGCCCGTTCGATCCGTGAAAGAAAACAAACGAATGATTCAATTCCACGACTCAGCAGCTTCTTCCTTTTTCAGCGGGGACAAACAGCTCTGAGTTCCGTCATCTTCCCCCTATATGAGGAGTGCAACTCATGAGCACAACACTTGAGTCCACCGCACAGAAGGTGCTCTGAAGGGAATTCATTGATCGAAGTCTACGCGGCTCGGGGCGTCTGCTATGTTGCGGTGGCTGGCAACCCTAGCATACTAAGACTCGACTCCACATTCAAACTCAGCAGTTATTATGGAGTCAGCCACCAGTCTTGCAACTGGAGTTTCACCCTTGCCTCTCAGCAAGGTCAAGCGCACTAACTCATGGTCCACATAGTGCACTAATTGGCATCTTCTGAGGAGGCATCTACAAAGGTGAAAGGAAACAGAATGGGATCATTTCCAAACCGTGTATGGAGTGGCTCGAATGAGCAAATAGTAAAGATTTATTTCTTGGACCAAAAGGAGGCTGCGGTTTCTCTATTGCCAAAATTTATAAAACAAAAACAGGCTTGGAGAACTCACAGCGCACCGCACTTAATATTCTTTCTTTTTGACCACGTGGGTATTAATTGGCTGATGGTCAAGTCCGGGATTTATGCACCTCGCATTCTGCCACTTGCACGGGTTGTGCATGGTCTGCCAAGCTATGAAGGGAAGCTAGGTCAGCTTCAGCAAAATTTGGTCAGGCATTTTCAAGTGACCCTGTGCGGTTGGTCACAAGGAACTATTGCTTTAGGCTTATTTGGGCCTATTCACGGGAAGGGACTAAAAAGGGTTAAGACCCCCGGTTGCAGGCTTCTGGGTGGCGTGGGTGGGACGAGAAGCCCTTCTAAATTAAAAAGGCAACCCTCCATCCCACCACTTGAAATGTAAAAAGGCCACATAGGAGAAAATGAATTCAGAACAAGACCGTTCAGATGACACTTGGCAACTCAGACCTGTGGGTTGTTTCCAAATTCACAAGAAACAAGTGCACTATTGAAAACGATGAACCCTCGACATGCTTTCAAAGAATGCACAGAACCCGAATGCCAAGAAGAGCCAAGAGGTATCCGGAGCAGGAACGTTAAGAACTGGCAAGTAGACACAAGCTGTCGTGAAAGAAAGGGAAACCGCAGCAAGGAAATTTTGTCAGCTGGAAAAATTTCACTTTTGTTTTTGGGTCCAAGAAATAACAAACTATCACAAGTGACAGTCCATTTATTTCTTGGACCAAAAGGAGGCTGCGGTTTCTCTATTGCCAAAATTTATAAAACAAAAACAGGCTTGGAGAACTCACAGCGCACCGCACTT